TAGGAGAGTGGTTTGGGGAGGCCTCGTCACTTCAGATTAGGCTGTAGCAGGCGTATCCTGTTTTCTAGGAAAAAGAGGATTTTGTGGCCAGCTTTGTTAGAGAGGCATTGAAGGTTTTTCTTTGTGTGCCTTCACGTTTGAAGTTTACAGACGGGTAGCTGCAGACTTTCTAGATGTTCTGGTTACACGGATGACACTTATTTTTAACCTTATTTTTATTAGAGGTTTGTATAATGTGGGCCTGGCCAGCCCACAGGAAGGGCTAGAAACTTCTTGTAGGAGGGATAACACTTCCTATCTCTGTGTAAACAGCAATTCTCCCCCAGATGGGAAAAGCCAGCCCAGCTGTAAGGGAAGCTGGGGCTGTATTCCCACATATGGCAGCAGGATGAGGCTCTCCCACAGCAGGGACAGACCCTGCTTCTAACAGCCAGAGCCCTGTTGGGTGGCACAGCTCTCCCCAGGCTCAGGAGAGGTGCTGGGGATGGGAGAGCTGCTCTGAGGAGCCGTGGTGAGGAGCGGATGGTCTCTGGGAGCTGTGATGGAGCAGCACTGGTGGAGCTGGTGGAGAGATGGGTGGCCAGTGCAGGGCTGGGGCAAGGGCTCAGACCATGGAGAAGCTCATGGAAGAGGAGGACACATCCTGTGGGACATGATCCTATGGGGTCTTGCAGAGAAGAATGCCAGGCAGAGAAAATGATGTTACTTCAGGCTGGGAAAGAGCCACTGAGCTGTGTGTGCACCGACATGGGGACCCCAAAGCCTGAACCCAGCACGAGCATCACCACTGACTTCAAAAAGAGAAGTTCCTCCTGCTCTCAGTCCTGGCTCACAACTGTCTGAGGTGATTTAATGGTGCTGGTGCTCGTCCCTACCTGTGAGAAGACTAAACAAGAACTCGGCTGTTACTGAGACCTGGGAATCCGGGACCCACAGATCCAGAGGTGACAAGGTTGCACTGCTGACAGCTGTAGGTAATGACACATATTTGCTCAATTGCTTTATTTGTGGAGGGTGTCCAGGCACGCTGGTGTGACACATGGAGCAGGTCCTGACTCAAAGCCTTGGGTGCAAAGCAAGAGATGGGAGGTGGTGGGAGCCAGAGCAGAGCTGCAGTCAGGGATTGGTGTTGGTTTGCCTGACCAAGAGAATTTTAGGAAGAAATTTGAAGTGGGGGAACTGGGTGGACAGGGAGGAACTGGGCCTGGTGCCATAACACAGGTGCACTTCAGAAAAGGCATTGGCTGAGCAGCCTTTGGTGAGGAGGAGGATTGAGGGTTGCATGGAAGGGCTGGCATGGTCGCTGGGAAGCATGTGAAAGATGAGGAGTCATTTCTGATGTGAATGAGTGTTGCCAATCCCAACTGTGTGATAGTGACAGGGAATGGCTTCTTCAGCTGGTCAGTCCAGCTCCATGGATTTGAGATGCCAGCCAGATGGGGGAATGGTTCCTGCTGGAATGATTTCCTGCAGAAGCTGGGCAGCCCAGCCTTGCTGCTGGTGGGAGTTCCTCCGTCATGGGGAGGGATGTGATGTGCAGAGGACATGCCACCTAAGCCCAGGGGTAGGGAGGGACTCCCCACCTCTCCCTCCATGTTCACATGAGCCCTGGCCATGCTGCCCAGCTCTTTGCAGCTGCTCCAGTGATGGAGCAGAGGGGCTTTGCCGCCATGGCCATGTCCCATTCCTAGTCCGTGCTGGAGAGCCATAGGGCTGGTGGGGAGCAGTAAGGGAGCTGCTTTGGTATTCACCTGGCAGAGGCTGCTGCTGCCAGCCCTGGCTCAGCAGGAGCTGCTGAGAGCCTGGTGTGGGATACTGGGAATGTCTGGCAGGAGCCTGGATATAAAATCCTCTGTAGAGGTACCTTGTTTCCCAGGAAATGACATACAAATTCACTTGATTGTTAAGAAATAAACTCACAGCATCTCTCTGTGGTGTGTTTAGCAGAGACAGGGAAAGAATCAGGGTTTGTCTCATCCTCTGCCAGAGCTGCTTTGTCTGGTACCAGGCCTTTCCCACAAGCAGTTTGCACAGCCATCCTCTCCTGAATTAAATGATAACTGAGGGGCAGAGAGGGAAAGAGGGCGTTTCAGCCGGCAGGAGATTGATGGCAGGTCAGCGAGGCCAACAGCAGCAGGAAGGTTTCCGCAGAAAGGGAGAGGAGCCCATGGATGCTGGAAGGGCTGATTCCAGCCTCACAGTGCCCTGGAAACTCTAATGAGCACAGCTCAAAAAAGCATTTCCCTTTCCCAAATCTGGAAAAAGAAACAGGAGTAAAATCTGTCTGTTTGTTTTAATCTCCTCCCCTGAGCTGCGAATTGCCTTTAGGTTTATGCAATACATGTTTGTTTGAACGGTGATGTCCAGTGTTCCCAAGGGCTCATCCAGAGCAGGTTTCTCAGCTCCTCCTGTTCATTTGCAGAATTTTTTTTGCCTTTGCTGCCAAATTTTTCATGCTTGTGTTCTGCAGGGATGGAGGGGTGGGTTGGGGGAACCTGCTGCACAGGCCTGGGGCTGGTCCACATGCTTCCTGCAGATTTCACACACTTTGGTTAACTAAGTTTTCCTCCTGACCTTGAAAGCTCATTTCTGTCACACCAGGATAATCATATTCCTTTCCTTACTGGTATATACTCTTCTGCTGGATCTAGAAGTAATAACAAACGAGCAGAGAAGATTATACCCCACGTGGACTCCGGATGCTTTGTCTGGGGCAGGAGAGGCGCGGGCTGTGTCCCTGGCCCCGGCACAGCCCCGCAAGTGTCTCCCCTCTGGACGGGAAAGGGGAAGAACAAACAAAAACTGAGTGTAAAACTTGTGAGGCTTTGTCTGCCCACGCTGGGCTGCGCGGGGTTGTGCTGCACGGGGCTGTGCAGGGCATGGCGCTGCTGGAAACTGGTGGGCAGAGGGGTGGCTGGGTGGGTGAGGGCTCTGCCCGGCCCCGGCGTTCCCCTTGTCTCTCCGGGGAGGGGGGGTGTCTCCTCTGCCTCGGGGGCTGATCTGCGGGGGGCTCCGAGGACCAAGCCCCGGAGGAATACTGAAGTTTAGGGGGATGCCGGGCAGTGGGGGCCACACCGGGACACCGGCGGGTACCAGGGTATGGTGTGAGACATCAGAAGGGTGTGGAGCCCCGGGAGAGGGATGCTGAGCCTCGGGGAGGAGATGCAGGGCACCGGGGAGGGTATGAGGGGAACTGGGAGCATGGGGGGATGTGGGGCACTGGGCGATGAGGAGTCCCGGATAATGCGGGGCAGTGGAGGGGACACACCGGGACGCTGAGGGTGCGGAGTGGCGGGAGGAGGATACGGCGCCCCGGGGGATGCGGGCCCTGAAGGAATGCGGGACCTCGAGGGCTGCGGGCCCGGGGGGCGCGGGGGGCCGGGCGGGTGCGGTTGCGGTGCGGGCCCCGCGCTCCCCTCCCCCGCCGTGGGGCGGCGAAGGAGGAGGAGGAGGAGGAGGGGCTGCCCAGCACGGGCAGGGTTAAAGCGCCATGTAACCGGAGCGCGGGGCTGTCGGGGGCCGGCCGGGGCGCGGGAGGCGGCGAGCGGCGGCGCGGCCCCGCTGGACGGCGCGTCCCGCCGCGGCGCAGGTGAGCGCTGGACCGGGGGGACCGGGGGGTCGGAGCTGGAGCCGCGGAACATCCTCGTGGGCGGCTTTGTTGTGCGCGGAGGCGGTGGGGGACAATGGGGCGGGCGGGGACTCGGCACCGGGCGCACCGGAGCGCGGCGGCGGGAGCGCCCCGGCCGGTCCGGCGGCCCCGGTGCCCGGTAGCCGAGGGCTCGCGGCCCCGCCCCGGGAGCTCGGGCAGCGGGCGGGGGGCGGTGGGTCCTGCCGCCACTTGTTGCCGGCGCTCGGCTCCGGGGCGAGTTGAGGGGAGCGGTGCTCCTACAGCCCCGGGCATGGTCCCCCTGGTCCCGCCCACCCCTCCGGTCCCGTCGCAACTTTCGGAGTTTCCCGCAGCGGCGCCGCGAGCCCCGGGGGCGCGTCCCGGGACTGTCACAGCGGGGCCGGTGCGGGACCCCCAGCGACCCGCGGGGCCGGGCCGGGGCCGAGCCAGAGGCTGGGGCGGGAGGGTCCCCTCGCTGACACGGCGAGTGATGGCTGCGGGGCGGGGATGGTTCGGGGGGGCCGGGGTCCCCCTCCTCGCCTCAGCGGCCCCGGGCAGCGCCGCCTCCAGGCCGGGGGCTCTGGGGGAGCTGCCGGGGGTACCGGGACGCGGTGGCGCTGCTGGTCGGGCCGAACACCTTTGTTTTCGATTCTCGGTCGGGGATCTGACAGCCCATCTTCCTTCTCTGTTGGCAGGAAAACATCCCGGCGGAGCCTCAGGCGCGAAGCCTCCCCGGGGCCGGGCCGGAGGGACGGGACGGCCGGGGCAGGTACCGATCGGAGGGCTCTGCTGGCATCCGCCTCCTGTAGAGCCCGGGGGGGAGTCCGGGGGGCAGTAGAGCATCGGAGAAGGAGGAATGAACTTCGGAGTGGCCCAAACGTGGGGCACAAATACCGGGAAGCCGGGAGAGGGGAACGGGGGGATTCCATGGCAAGTGGGGCGAGCAGTGGTCCTACACCGACCTCCTTCGAAACGGGACAGGGAAAAAGCGGGGCGGCTGGAACGTGCTGCCCGGAGCAGGACTCGCCTCTCCTGCCTAAGTTTCTAGTTTCCAGAGAATTTTTAATGAACTGTGGGGGAGTGAGCCCGGGTATCCCAGCCCCGGCTCTGGGGCTGTGCGGGGCCGGGTGGAGGGGCGATGGGGACAGCGAGGTGTCATTGTCATGGCTTTACGTCCTCTTGTGCAGGGGGAAGATGAAGCAGTGACCGCTCCGGACAGAGGACCTGCCACTGCTGAGAGGGACCCACCTGAGCGCCGGAGCCCCCACAGCCCCCAAAAGGTGCCAGCCCTGCCCTCAGCTCCCTGCCTGCAACCCCCAGCCCTGCCCGAAGGCAGCCCCTGCCCCACGCCGGGGGGCTCGGGAGGGGCCCGGCCCGGCGGGATCCCACCGGGATGAGCATGGTAAAGAGCCGGGAGCGGCTGGAGCAGCGGCTGGCGGGGATGGTGGCTGCCCCGGAGACGTCTCCAGCCTGGTCTGCACTGGGAGAGGAGGGGCTGGTTTGTGTTTTGTTTCTTTTCTTTAGCCCAGCTTTGCTGAAAGGCAGCGGGGAGAGCCGGGGTGGGCGCCGAGGGCTGCGGGGGGAGCGGAACGGGGCAGGAGGAAACCGGGGGAAATGGAGGGAAGTGCCGGAGCGGGAGAGCGGAGGGGCCAGGCACAGGAAGCGGGCAGGGGGAGCCTGCCCTTCGCCCCTTGCCCTTCCCAGCAAGCACATCTGCGAAATGGGCGCCTTTCTTACGGAACTGCCAACCCAGCAACTCCTTTCTTTCCAGGATTAGAGGGAAATGTTCGGTTTGGGGAGACTTAAAGGCCATTAGTGTGCGCCGCAGCCCAGAGCCAGCCCGGCCATTAGGGTCCTTTATTTCTTTTTGTTATTCAAACAGGGCTTGGGCGATGGCTCCATCCCAGCCATCGGCAAAGCTTCCCTCCAGCCTTTTGATATGCATGCCCCTGTCTGGAGGCAAAGTCCGCAACCTCCCCACCTCCTGGGGACACGCACCTGATAACAGGGCAGCCTGTTTTCCCAGCAAGGAAAACTGAAACCAGCCTGGGCCAGGCTGGGGGAGCAGCCCCGGGAGCAGGGGCAGGGGTCCAGTCCAGAGCACAGTCCGGCCAGGTGAGCTCTGCCTTCCCTGCCCACCCTGCCCTCTCTGCCAGGTGAGTCCAGCTGTCGTGCCCACTCTGACTGCTCTGCCTGCTCCAGGGTCTCTGGCAAGCATGGCCAGACAGGGACCAGAATTCTCTCTAAGCAGTTAATACTGTGGCATGGTCTTTAACCAGTTTGGCAAATCTTAAAGAAACTGGTATTGCAAAATGAGGGCGGGCTCCAGAGTCAGCGGGTTCATTGTCTCCTCGGTGGGATTTGGCTGCAGGGCACGTCCTGGTCACCAGGCAGTGCCGGGGCTGCCGCTGGCGCCAGGCTCTTGGGGAGCTTTCGGCAACTCTGGAATTCTGCGTTGTTTTCCTCCTCGTGGGTTCCCATCTGGAGCGCATGGCCGTGGAGCACCCGGTGTGTTTGCAGGGCGCCGGGCAATGCAAACACTGCAGGGCTGGTCTCCTCCTCCCGTGAGGCAGCACATGTGAGGGCAGTGCTCTGTTTCTTATTATTTTCGTAATGCCCTGCGTGCACATGTTGGTGTGTTTCTGCAAGGGGAGGTGAGGACAAAGAACCGAGCCTTCCAAGCAGGAGTGGGTGAGCTTAGGAGGACGTGGCTCCTGTGGGGGGACCTGGGGTGGGCTGTGAGCGGCAGGACGGGCTTGGGCGTGAGGCTTCAGTGCTTGGTGCGAACGGCAGCAGTAGGAGGAGAAAGGATGGGAGTTACAGTCCTGCTGCATAGGTGTGGGATTTTGGGAAAGCCAGACTTTTAACGAGCAGCTTGGGCTGTGGTGTGCTGTTCCCTTTCCCGTCAGAGGATGGTGATGGGGATGTCCTCGAGTGATCTTGGGCGGTGCAGCTGGAGAGAACACAGCAGCAAACAGTGAGCTGACCTGCCTCTGCTCACAGCAGAGCCTCCAGCCCGGTGCCATGGACCTGCAGAGCTGTGGCCTGTGGGTCTCTGCTCTGCCAGGGGGCAGTTCCTTCCAAAGGGATAACTCCTTTTCCCCCACTTTATAATGGGAACAAAGACAATGTGGGAGCTCCCTGAGCACGTGGCAAAGCCGAGCTTGATGTGTTGGGTGCTCAGTCCTGGTTGTGTCATATTCCAGGGGAAACCTGGCCACTGTGTCACCCTTCCCTGCTGCCTCCCTGGCAAGGGGCTGGCAGGACACCCTCACCTGGTGGCCTGGCGAGCCCTGGCCATGCTGGGCATCGGGCAGCCCCGGAGCTGAGAGAGGAAAAGACATTTTGAGGTGCGGGTTTGAACTTCCTGGGCTCAGGCTCCTGACACAGGACTGAATGCAGGGGTCCTCTGGGGTTTTGTAGCTGCAGATGTTTGGCAGGGCTGGGCAGTGGCCTTGCCTACCCTCCCTGAATCTTACCTGCCTCATGCTGCCTCATCTGCCTGTCCCCTCTGGGTCACCCTCATGCTGGGAGAGCAGCATATCCTCTCACACCTCCCTGTAGGGATTCCCAAGGGTGATTCACTACTGTTTGATGAGATTTGCTGGTTTTGGTGGCAGCATCATCCCTGGCTGTGGCTGCTGCTGCTCTGCAGCGTCTGTGGGCTGGGAAAGGAGAGCAGACCAGGAGGAGCTGACCCGGCTGTGCTGTGCTGGGGTGGATTGCTGCATCCGGGGCCATGTGGGACCGTCCACCTGGACTGGGGGCAGGCAGCGAGTCTGGGCAGCTCCCAGGAATTGTTTGCCGGGTCTGGGAGCAGATGTGCTGCAGCAGTGGGATTTCTGCACACAGAAATCCCCCATGCAGCTGTTAGGGGGTTATGCAGCTTCAGACTCTGTCTGGTGCAATTTCTCTCCTTCTCCCTTGGTTGAGGGGGGAGGCAGGACGCTCATGGGGGACTCTGCCTGGGGAGATGGGCGCCAGACACCTGTTTTCCTTCATGTCTGGGTGTTGCAGGTTTTCTAACTCTGCCCTCGGCATCCAAAACATCAAACCCCAACTGGTCTTTGTTAGCCAGAGGTGCTGACAGATGATTTCAAAGCAGTAATCTCAATTGTTAGGGCAGTGGTTGGAGGCAATGTGGAGTGAGAGTGACGCAAAAGGGGTGGTGGGCTGGAGCTGGAGTCTCTCTGAGGCTGGGGGGGGTGTTGCTTTGGCTTCCTTACAGGGCTGTAGGTGGGCAAAGCCCTGTGCGCTCCTCAGCTCTTGCATTGCATGCTCCTGAAATGACTGTGCTGCCGAAGGGGCAAGTTGCAGCACAGACCCATAGCCCAGCAATGAGGCAGTGTTGTTCACGGCATCCCGGTGCCTCTAGGAGAGCCAGACCTTCCACTTCCAAAAACAGGATCCGGGGAGGGCACCCAAGGGAAGGCGGAGGCGTCTGAGCTCAGGCAAGGGGAGCCCCAGCTCTGCAGGGGGACACCAGGGCAGGGGGTGCTGCTGCACAGCCCCCTGCCCTGCCCCCTCGCCCTGGGGCAGGGAAGCTGAGGCCAGGAGTGGGGGGCAGGAGGAGTTTTCTCCCTTTGGGGGAGTTTAACTGGCTGCAGGCTCCAGGACTTTGCCCCTCATGGCGGGCGGGCTGCCTGCCTGTCCTGCTGCTGCTGGCACAGCCCACCCACACCTGGGCAGCTGTAATGGTGCCCCTGGGGTGGGCTGTCCCCTGGGGTGGGCTGTCCCCTGGTTTCTGAAGGGTGGCAGGGAAGTGCAGCTCCCCTCCAGACTGGGTCCAGCAGAGCGAGGTGGGGCTGGGCAGCACCGAGCCCAGGAGTGTTCCACAGCATATGGATGGTGGGGAAAAACCTCGTGTTCCCTAAAGATGAGCGAGTTGTGTCTGGAGCCTCTGTTAGCTGGAGCTGGTGGATCTTTTAAGGCCACCACATTTGTGGGGAGGTTTTGTCCAAGTGCTATTTAGCTCCCAGGACCCCTCTAGATGCGTCTCCAGTCAGACCCCGTTGCTAAGGGTGTGAAGTTGTGGCTGGCTCAAGGAGCTCACACTGTCTGCTTTGCCCTCCTTGAATCTTCCTTCATGGCTGAATTTCCTTTCCACTCTGGCTTCCACAGGCGACCATGAAACAGGACAAGAGCCACGGGCAGGATGAGGCAGACTGCAGGGCAAAGCTGATCCTCCTCAACGGGGACTGCACCAATCCTGCTACGCCCAGCGTTGTACTGGAGGCGAATGGGAAGCCCAGTACTCCAGGTGAGGGTCACCATGGTGTGCCCAGAATGCACCCTGCCTGGGATGTGCAAGGATAAACAGGGTTTGGGATCTCCCAGCCACTGTATGAGGCATTGTGGCTGGGGGGGTGGCTGCAGTGCTGCAGCCATGGCCAGGGTCCCTTCATGATGTGAGTCCACTGGGTTTCTGCAGTCTTGTAGCCCATCCAGGCCATGACCTGGTTGTGGAAATGGGTGCCACAGAGGGAGGCTGGCTCTGCCCCTTGATAGTTGAATCCCCTGGAGCAAGGGAAGAGGGGGAGCCCCACCAGCCTGAGGGGTGCCACTGCTCCTGAGATGCTCCAGTCTGGGCTTTCCAAATCCCACCTCTTGGGTAAACAAGGTCCTGTTTTAAATGACCTGGTGACAAGCCCTGAATAGCTGAGCTTTCAGGAACTAAGAAGTAGATAAGAATGTCACCACACTTGCTGCTAGTCCCTCCCAGTTTTGGGGACAGATGGGTGATCCGGGGGTGTGGTGCCACGATGGGGAGCCCTGGGAACACCACTTGTCTCTGCTCCTGGCCACAATTCTCCAAGATGAGATTTCTGTCTCTCCAAATCACGACATGCTCTTGAGAGCAGTGGGACATGCAGAGGCATGTGGGGACACAGCCAGGAGGGCTTGCAGAGCCTAAAGCTGCTCTGCCTTGTCCCTGCACAGATCCCATGGACCTCGCGCTGTTGCCTCTGCAGAACAAGGACAGCAATGGAGACCTCTCCAAGGAGGACCTGGCCTGGCCACTTGGCCTGGCAGGGGTGCAGAAGGTAAGATATCACCTAGGCTGCTCTTCAGGGACTGTCTGTGGGGGCATCCAGTGCCAGAATCCTCATCTCTTTCCCTCTGAGCTGTTCTTGTGCTGGGGGAACAGTCCAGTGGTGGATGCAGCACTCATTTACCAGTGTAAATTGTAATTTTTAAATTCCTGATTTACATGAGACCACAGCAGCAGGAGGGGGTGGTGTGAGTGATGCCCACTATGTGTTGCAGCAGCCTAATAATTATCATAATTATTATGCTGATGTTTTCTTTGAAAAGTCTTGTCTGTATTGATGGACTGAACCATCTCGTGTCTCCCTCTCTTGGGCTGGGCTGCTTTTAGCTGCCTCGGGGCTGCACCCCAGTTTTACCCACCCTCTTTTGTTGACTAGGTTGACAAACCTCCAGGATCTGGAAGCATTTTTGCCTTCTTGCTTTATTGTTTTGAGTTAGAAACAAACCCCAAGGTTGGAGATCTGCCTGAGATGAGGCAGCTTCCAAAAGAAAGAGCCATAAATCCAGTGGGTGAAAATTCAGCTTTCCCACTGTGTTTGGTTCAGGGGCTCTTCGCTGCAAAATCTCGTTTAATTTTGAGCCTCGTTATGCCGGATGCAGGAAACATGCCTGGGCTGGACTGTGTCTGTGACTGCTGGGGAAGGGCTGCTGCAGGGTGCTGCAGGGTTCTGCTGCAGGGCCAGCTGTGAGAGGAAGCACTCACGGGTGTGTGAAAGCATCCATGGGTATGTGAGTGGGTCTGAGGGGTGCTCTGCTGGGGCCTGTGGCTCTCCTGGCATGCAGTGCTCATGGCTGTGGCTCCTGCTGCTGTCAGTCACGCCGGATGCAGGGCTGCAGCAATGGGTGCTCCTGAACCCTGCAGAGACTCTGTGGAGTGCATGGTTGCCCAGAGGGGCTCAGCACAAGGTGCCTCCAGCAGCCGTCTGCTCTCCTCTTGCCCTCCCCAGGGCTCCAGTGCCGCTGGTGCTCGGCCTCGTGAAGCACAGGCTGTCCGTGTCCTGCATGGGGAGGGCACCCCTGCCATGGCACCTCTCTGTTCTGGTGGCAGGTGCAGCCCCGGGGCAGTGCTGGGTGGGAGAGCAGCCTCAGGCAGAAGCCCACAGTCCACCTCATCTTCCAGGCAGGGCAGGCCCGGCACGTGACGAGGATCAAGGATCGAAGCAGTGTGGAAGCTCTCAGGGACCTGCGAACTCCTGTGCGGGTGAGGGTCTGCGGGTCTGCCTGGGGCTTCCCTGGGGCTTCCCTGGGGCTTCCTTGGGGCTTCCCTGGGGCTCCAGAGACCTGCACTCCTGTTGCACCCTGGCCAAGCAGCTTTGGACATGGTGCAGACTCTCAGAGCCTCAGTTTCCCCTGTGTAGATTGGAGTGAGTTTGCTGTTTCTTGCCCTTTCTATGATTTGGGTGGGTTGAACACTCTGGAGTGGATTTGGGACAGTAAAAGGGGAGAGAGCAGTGGTGTGCCATTTGCTTTGGGTCTGACAAGTAAAAGCCGAGCAGTTCTCCTGCAGAATCTCCTGTTAAGGGCTCTCCTCTCTGCTTGTGGCAGCAGCAGTGCCCTCAATCGCTGGCTCCCCTTCTCCAGTCCTGACTGTGAGGTTGGGGGATGATGTGGAGCAGGTCTCTGTTCCCCACTGCCCCTCTCCTTGCAGCACTGACCTTCTCTCCCTTTGCCATGCAGGGCTCCAGGCGTCGCTCAGCCGTGTCCACACCGCTGACCATCGACCTGACAGAGGATGACTCCCGGGACTCATCCCAGAGCAGCAGCACACTCTCTGGCAGCAGCTCCCAGGAGGGGCAGAATGGCTCTGCCGAGCTGGGGGCTGAGGAGTCAGAGAGCAGAGATGTGGGGATGGCGCTGGAATACCAGGTACGGAGGGGCTGAACTCTGCTCTTGGATCCACGGTGGTGTGGGGCTCGGATGAACCTCCCTGGCTTGTCCCAAGCCTGCAGGCGTGGGGAACCTCTGGAAACCTCACTGCTGCTTCTCCTGTCTCCCCTTCCCTGCCTGCCCTTCCCTGTGTGCCTGGGGTGTGATGTCTCAGGCTGTGGGGGCAGCTTACTGCCGAGGGACACTTTAGGGATCAGTCCTGGCAAGCTGCCTCCAGTGCCACACACAGGCCCCCGAGACACGCATGCGTGGCATGTGCCCTGCCGTGCTGTGCCCCGCTGAGACAGGCAGTTGCATGTGCAGAAAACATTTCTGTTGGGGATGCTGGAGAGAACTGAAGCTGCTGGGGCTGCAGAGCGGGATTCAGTGCCTGCAGGCCACAGGGCAAGGCCCCAGACTTGCAGGAATTGGGCAATTGCATCTTGCTGCATAATTAGGAGCCTAATTGCAGAACAAAGCTGGAAAGAAGGGCTCTGCAGGCGGAGGTGACTCCGCTCTGTGCGAGGTGCCCTCCCCATGTAAAGCACCCAGCTTGGCCCTCAATGGGTCACATCAAAATTCTTGGTTCTTTTTCATCTCCCTGTTTTCACTCTGCCCTGTTTCCTGCTCTCCCCAGTGGGAACAAGAGGGATGGGTGGGTGGGAACCCTCTCCCTGGGCTGCAGCCAGGTGGGCTGAGCTGTGAGCCCTGTGAACGGGCTGCCCTGTGCCAAGGAGGAACCTCGGGGCACCCAGGGAGCAATCTCGGGGCAAGGCTTCCCAGTGTTTGCAGAGACCCTGGGAGGGCAGGCAGGAGTGGACATGCACAGGGCCTGGTGCCAGGAGGGCTGTGCAGGACAGAGCACGCACCATGCCGTGTGCCAGGCATGGGCTCAGCGTGGGGCTGGCACACACAGACCTCCCCACTGAGCTCTGGCATGGTGCAGGGCTGGGAGCCAGTGCTGCCAGGAGGTGCTGGGCCATGTGCTTGAAGGAGGGGGTGCAGCCTGTCTGCACAGACGTCTAAGTGTGTGACACACGTGGCAGAGCAGCTCCTCAAGGCGCTCTGGGTCCATCCCCTGTGCTCCAGGGCTCTCCTGCAGAGCTGCCCAGATAAAATAGGGCGTTTGTGCTTTTTGGCAGATCTGTGTTGTCATCTCTTGCTTTCAGGATGGGAAGGACTTTGGAATTGGGGAGCTCGTCTGGGGGAAGATCAAAGGTTTCTCCTGGTGGCCTGCAATTGTTGTCTCCCACAAAGCCACGGCCAAGCGCCAGGCTGTGTCAGGCATGCGGTGGGTGCAGTGGTTTGGAGATGGAAAGTTCTCTGAGGTAAGCCTGTTATCTGCCCCTGCCTGCTGTGCCCAGCCCCAAACCCCCTCCCCTGCACATTTTTGCCCCGCTCCTGGGGCTGCCTGTGGGGTGTGTGCTCCCTGCAGCCTCCCTGGGCAGGCCCCTGGTGTTCAATAGCCAGGCCTTGGCAGGCTCTCATGGCTCTGGTGTCTGTAACTAATAATTGGACACTGTAGGTCGGTGACAGTATCCAGCAGTGGGAACACATGCCTGGCCCCTACGCAGGGTTTTGTCCAGGTCTTGCGCTCCAGGGCTGCCCAGGAGCCCTGCCTGGTTAAGGATGTCCCATCAGAGACCCATCACCCCCCACACAGATTCAGAATATCCTAAGTTGGAAGGGACCCATGGGGATCGTTGAGTGCAACTCCTGACCCTGCTCAGGACAACCCCGAAATCCCATTATGTGCCCAGGAGTGTTGTCCAACACTGCTTCTCGAGCTCTGGCAGGCTGATGCCGTGACCACTTCCCTGGGGACCCAGTTCCAGTGCCTGACCACCCTCTGAGTGAAAAACCTTTTTCTAATATGCAACCAGGATATCCAACCCCTCCCATGCTGCAGGCGGGAGGGAGGGAAGTGCCGTGCTGGTGTCACAGTGCCTGGTGTCACAGTGCCAGCAGAGGGTGCAACCCACCCGTCCTTGTCATGCTGCCGCTGGGCTTCCTCCCCTGGCTGCAGTGCCGCAGGGTCGGGGCTGGGAATGTGGTGCCGGAGGGGAAGTGGCTGGGCAGGACATTCCTGTCCTGTCTCGCTGGTGAGCTCTTGTCACTCTCTCACAGGTTTCTGCGGACAAGCTGGTGGGACTGATGGCCTTTAGGCAGCATTTCAATTCTTCCACGTTCAATAAGCTGGTGTCCTACCGCCGTGCCATATACCATGCCCTGGAGGTAACCACCAGGGGTGGGTGGGTGGGTGGGTGAGGTGCCAGCTAAACCAGCTGGACTTGAAAGCAGCAGGATGGGGCTCAGGAAAATAGTCCTTTCTCTGCTAGGATGATTTGCAAGTGCAGCTTTGGGGCCAAACTCTGCTTATCATCGGGGTTCAGGGGTAACTGCTCCTGCTCCAGGGTTTGCTGCTCCAGATCCCCAGGCCAGGCTCCCTGCACTGTCTCAGACACAGGAGCATCACAGCAGCAGGGCAGTGCCAGGCTGGCCTGAGGTGTCCCGGGCTAGTGCCAGGTGCCCTTTGGAGTCAAGGTGGTGCTGAGCACCCTATGTGTCCAGTCCACATCCAGGGGGTGCATCACACACCGGGATTAAGGGCTGCAGATCCACAGGCACCTCTTCTGCCTTCCTGTCGCTTGCCAGGGAGCAAGAGTCTGGGCAAAAGCTGGAGCTGTGCTGTCCATGCTCCTGGCTCCACTGAGGCTGGTGAAGGATGGATGGGCTCATTGCAGGGATGGGGGCACCAGAGCACAGCCGAGGGCACACCCAGAGCAGGAATCCATCAGCTGCTGCCATCCCAGGGCCACCAAACCCCACACCCGTGTGTGTCGGATGGGGAGGGGGCCTGGGGCTGTGGCCCTGACAGGGGTGTGGCTGCTTCCCAGACAGAGACCACCCTGTCACCCTATCCCATGCTGTCCATTCTCGGCAGGTTGCCCGGAGCCGGTCAGGGAAGACGTTTACAACTGGCCCCAGGGACTCGCTGGAGGAGCAGCTGAAGCCGATGATTGACTGGGCAATCACTGGCTTCAAACCCCTGGGGCTCAAGGGACTGCAGCCACCCAAAACCTCAGGTGAGGCAGTGGCATCAGCTGGATGGGGGCTGGCATGGCACTGGCAGGGGGCTGGTGTGGTCAGCAGCCACCAGTATCTGGCCCCAGCTGAGCCTGCTCATCCTGTGCCGTGGCCATGCCACTCCAGTCCCAAAGTGGTCCTGGAGCTCCTCACTGGGTCCCTGACAGTGACTTTGCAAAAAGCCAGAGCAAAGCACTCTCTGTGCCCTTGGTCCTGGAAATCTGACTTGGCTGAGCCTTGTGCCATGAGTGGGGAGCCCGGGTGGCCAGGAAGGGTTCTTCTTGTAACTGGGCTTGGCAGGAGATGTCTCCCGTTGCCCTGAGGTGGTCCTGGGGCTGGAGGCTCGTGCCCAGGGAGCTGCCTTTCTCTTGCAGAAAATGGGGTGCTGAGGAATGGGACAGAGGAGGTGCTGTCCCTTGAACAGTATCCCCCCACCAAGAGGCTGAAGAGCTACCCCTGCAACAATGGCAAGGAGCAGCGCATGGAAGAGGACCAGACCCGAGGTAACCAACAGAGAGAGCTGGGGAGTGGCTCGGCCTGGGCTGCGCACCCTGAGAGCACTGGAAAACCATTCTGGGAAAGGGGTTGGCTCTTCCCTGGTGGCCATGAGCTTGGTTCCTGAGGGCAGAAGCTTTTGTGATCCCATGGTGCTCAGTTGTGCCTTATTAGACACCAGCAAACCCAGCTGCAAGATAGGGGCTGGGCTTCACTAATGGCTCAGCTTGGACATGATCCATGAGCTGCTGTGCTGAGCTCTAATATCTCCTTCAGTGAAAGGATGTGGGTTTTGCCCCAAAATTTCTAATATGCCCATGGCCAACCTTCTCTGTGTGATGCTCAGCAAAGCTGGAGCAGTTCTAAATGCAAGAAAAAAAGCAGCTGTAAGCAGAATTCATTTAGAGTTTCTAATGTAAGGAATGATAAATTTTTTTTTTTAATTTTATAAAGAACAAATGGTTTCCGAAGTTACGAACAACAGCGGGAAGCTGGAAGGTAATCACTGGTCCTGTCTCCCTTGGGAAGAGGTGTGGGGTGATGTGGGATCCTGGCTGGCAGTGCTCAGCAAGGGTTGTGGGTTCCTTTTTAACAGCACCATCCAGGAGGGGGGAAAACGCTGTGACTGCAGGGTGCTGGGGGTCCCCCTGTGCTGAGGGGAACAGGGTGCTGTGCAGATCCTCCATGGGGAGCCACAGCCACATCTGGATGCCGTTCCAAGGGCAGACCCCATTTGGATGCTGTTCCAAGGGCAGGCTGTTCCAGACACTGTTCCAAGGGAGGCTCCAGCCTCTGGGGGTTTGGGGACTCCCTGCCCCGACGTCTCCCTGCCTTGGGTGAACACAGCTCTCTCTGTCCCACAGACAGCTGTTTGTCCTGCGGGAGGAGGAACCCGGCCACCTTCCACCCACTGTTCAAAGGAGGCCTCTGCCAGACGTGCAGGGTAAATGCTGGGGCTGGAGGATGGGGCCGGGATCCATCCAGTGTTGCTGGGACAGGGAGTGGCTGTACCAGGTCCTGGCCATGCTGTGTCCTCCACGGGGCTGTCCCTTGGCATGTTCTTGCCACCTGAAACACCAAGGATGTGCATCTCCGAGTGCTGGGCGGGTACCAGGGATGGACCAAAGCTGCATTCTCTCTTCACCCTCTGAGCACAGCTCCTGATTCTCTGTCCTTCTCTCCTCCTGGCTGTCCTTTCACTAGGATAGATTCCTGGAGTTCTTCTACATGTATGATGAAGATGGTTACCAGTCCTACTGTGCTGTCTGCTGTGCGGGCAAGGAGCTGCTGCTCTGCAGCAATTCCAGCTGCTGCAGGTGGGCCCCGTGTCTCTGCTCCTGGGGCTGTGGCCCTGACATCATTCCAGGGAGCTGTGGGGAGCAGGGTCCTGCATGACCCTGGGTGCAGGGGCTATGCTGCTCCCCAGCTGGCTGCCATGCAGCATGTCCCAGCACAGCCTACTTCTCCCTGCTGAGCCAGGCAGCACCTGAATAAGCCCTGGGGAGGTTGGCAGGAGATTTACCCATGCCTTGGGTCACTGGCTTGTGTTAGCAGCCCTAAAAACCAAGGTACTGCCTGGAAAAATATCCTGTACAACAGGGCAGGGGCTCTGGTGCATGGCGGGGGAGATTCCAGGAGAGGCTGAGGTGACCCAGAGGGGTCCCTGAGGTGACAAGCACAAGGTGTTGTGGTTTGGGCAGGTGCTTCTGTGTGGAGTGTCTGGATGTGCTGGTGGGGCGAGGGACGTCGGCCAAAGCAAAAGTGCAGGAGCCCTGGAACTGCTACATGTGCTCACCCCAGCAGAACTACGGGCTGCTGCAGCGCCGGCAGGACTGGAACGCCCGTCTGCTGGACTTCTTCACCAGTGACAAGGGACAGGAATATGTAAGGGCTGTGGGCAGGGAGCCTGGCATGCTGGGGTGTGGGGAAGAGGGTCATGAAGGTCAGGGCAAGTGGCTTGGAATTCCTCTTCCCTCTGCCTCGGTCTTGTTCCTTCACCCTCTCCAAGGGTGCTGGGCTCTTGGCCCTGCAGATGCCCTCCTGAAGGCAGAGGTGATGCCTGCAGAGCTGAAGTTTGGCCTCATAAGGTGATGCAGCACTGCCAGGGCTGGGGCTTCATGGCTGTTTCCATTGCAGGCTGCACCCAAAATCTACCCAACAGTCCCACCAGCAAAGAGGAGACCAATCCGAGTGCTCTCATTGTTCGATGGGATAGCAACAGGTGAGGCTGTAGGGAAGCACTGCCTGATGGCTTTTCAGCACTGGGCAGCAGAGATGAATCATTCCATGGACTCAGATCTGTCTCTGAAAGCTTGTTGGGGAGAAGGGGGCGAAGATAGGAGGGATCCCCATCAGCAGGAGTCGAGAGCAGGAGAAAGGGAAGGATGGATGGAAGGAGGGAGGGAGGCATGGGAGTTTTGCTCACAGAGGTTCAGGTGGCTGGTTCCCCTGAGAAGCCAGAGCTGTGGGGAGAACAGCAACTTGCCCTCTGGTGAAATGCCTGAGGGCAACTGGTTTGGCTCAGTTCACTCAGCTCTGGCATTCTGCTTTCTGGGAGCAAACTGGAGGAATGGGTCAAAAAAAAGTTTGCTCATCCTGAAGTCTTGTGTGACTGCCCCCACCTAGGACATCCAGGAGCAGCCACATCAAGCTCTGCTGACGAAGGAGACCGGGAGGCCAAAGAGAGCAGTGCGACCTCAGACCTCTGTCCGTTGGCAGGGTACATGGTGCTGAAGGACTTGGGCATCCAAGTGGAGAAGTACATTGCCTCGGAGATCGGCGACGACCCCATCGCGCCGGGCACCGTGCGGCGGCCCGAGGGCAATATCACCTATGTGCATGATGTCAGGAACATAACCAAGAGAAATGTGAGCTCCACTTCTGTGGGGAGCCAGGGGATGTGGCCCCGTGGGTGTGTGGGTCTCACCCCACCAGCCCTGGGATGGGCTCGTCCCCTACCCCACTGGGGAGGAGAGATGCACTTCCGTGGCATTTCCTAATGGGCTGGTGTGTCTGTTCCCTGTAGATTGAAGAGTGGGGTCCTTTTGACCTGGTGATCGGCGGAACCCCTTGTGACGACCTCTCCCTTGTCAACCCAACCAGGAAGGCACTCTTTGGTAAGGCTGCTTCACCTCTGCTGAGCTAGGTACCCCGGGGTGTTCCTGGGTCATGGAGCCACCTTACAGCCCAGGGAAGTGTTTCAGCCCCAGGCTGTGTTGGTGGTGGCTCCCTGTGGCACCTGCAGAGCACGGGCTGTTTCCATGCCTGCTGTGGTAGAGAGAGCAGCCAGGCCCCACCCCGACACCCCATTCCCGGTGCCTCAGCTGGTCCCAACCTGCTGCTCTGCTTTTTCCCTGCAGAAGGAAGCGGGAGGCTGTTCTTCGAGTTCTACCACCTGCTCAACTACGCCCGTCCCAAGGAAGGCGAGGAGCGGCCCTTCTTCTGGATGTTTGAGAATGTGGTGGCCATGAGGGTCAATGACAAGAGGGACATTTCCCGGTTTCTGGAGGTAGGGATTGCTGCTGGCTGCAGGAAAGGCGTCACAGCAGGTGACACTTGCTGGGCTGTGCAGGGTGTGCCAGCTGTGAGGGTCTGGCTATGGTTTCCTGTGGCCTCAATGCTGGAAAACCCCCTGCCTGGTGCACATGCCGAGGAATCAAGTTTAGTCTTGGCTCTGGATCCTCCCCTCTGGCTTTCAGCAGGTCAAACCCAAGCACTAGTCCTCCGGGGGAGGGGTTATGCCAGCCTTGAAGAAAGCATCTGTTCAGAGCAATGCCTGTTATTTCCAGGGAGAGGGAGGTCAGGGACTGGGAAGGGTTTTTAACTCTGTGGTAGCCAGGACAGGCTGTGAGTCAGCAGGGACCCTGGTGTAAAAGCCCCATCAGAGGCTGACAGTTCTGATCCTGGCCCAGGGGAACCAGCACTGAGCACCCTGAGAGGGTTATTAGCTGCTGGCCATGGCCATGACCTGGGAGCCCATGTGGCCAACCAAGATGTGCTGTGGTGTGGAACAGGGTTTGTGGGGGCTACATCCTCAGGAGGATTTGCTGGAGACTTTTAAGTCCCTGCAGTGCAGTGGGAAGGGCTTTTCCTGCAGGAGAGGACTAAACCCACATCTCCTTTAACGTTTATTTCCCCCCTCTCTGGCCCCCAGTGTAACCCAGTTATGATTAATGCGATCAAGATATCGGCTGCCCACCGAGCTCGTTACTTCTGGGGCAACCTCCCGGGGATGGACAGGTAATCAATCAGTCCTTTGCTGTCCTCTTGAATCTCTCGCTGTAGTTTTTGTTGGGTTGTGCTGCTCGTGGGTTTTTTTGCCTCCCTGGCTCAAAGCCCAGCTCCTGGGAGTGAGGAGCCGCAGCTCCCGCACGGGGCAGCTTCCCTGCAGTGATGTGCACATGATAATTAATGCACTTACTAATGAGCAATGACTGTGGGAAAAGTGTAGTAGTGTCCTGTGCCCTGGACCTGAGGCATGTGGAAGGAAGAATGATGGGGCTTGCACAGGGTGCTGTGTGGTGGGTGTGCATGTGCCCCAGCCTTGGTGTAAGGCCCAGGCTGATGTGGGGGTGCTGTATGGCAGCCCTGTGCCCTGTGCCATGATGGGGGGGTTTGCTGGAGGTGAACCAAGCAGCCACTGGGGCTCAGCTGGGTGTAGTGGCGTGGGGAAGCTCATACTGCAGCAGGCAGCTGCTGATGCAAAGCATGGTAGTGCTGTGCTCCTCCAAACCCTATTCACACCCTGAATTCATGGCAAAAAAACAACAGAAGGACTTTGAGTAGATAAAATCCAATTGGAGTAATCCTGCACACCAAATACTCCTAGTAACAGAACCTGAAGTTTTTGCCTAGCGGATGCTTTGGCCAGTAAACACAGACTGGGGTTAAATATTTTTATTTGTTTATTTAAATTGCCAGTATTTGTTGGAGTTAACACTGAGCTAAAGGCATTTGAAAGTAAAATAACAATTCCTGAGCCTTTGTCATGTGAAATGGCTCTTGGACTTTCATCTGATTGTAAGGGAAGTGCCCGGCCCATGACTCAGAGCTACCCAGAGCTACTCATTCCTATCTCCATGGAGTAGCCTGAGGTGGTGCTTGCAAAGGTGCTGCTGAGCAGAGGCAGGCAGGATACCACTGGCACAGGGCTTCTCCAAAAGCCTTGCCAGAAAAAAGCTACAAAGGGCACAGGGAAAGGTGGGCTGCCACTGCCTGTCCCCATTCAGAATGGTGACACTGCTCAGGCCATGTGGGGAGCAGAGTGCCCTTCCCGTAGGAGATTCCAGATGCTCTGTGTCTCTGGTGGCTCAGGAGCAGGGCTGGCCAGCGAAAGGGGCTCCTGCTTCTGCTCTGTCTCACCCACCATCTCCTGCCTCTACTCCTCAGGATCTTCGGCTTCCCCCTCCACTACACGGACGTCTCCAACATCGGCCGCGGGGCTCACCAGAAGGTGCTGGAGAAATCGTGGAGCGTCCCGGTCATCCGGCACCTCTTCTCCCCACTCAAGGATTACTTTGCCTGTGAATAGCAAGCCGAGCGTCCCTGTCTCTCTGGTAAAGGTGCACAGCACCGCTGCTGTGGCGGGAGAGGGACGGGCACGGCTGCCAGACTGCCGGGACCCCCGTCCCTCCCCGGCCACGTGCTGCGGGACGGCAGCCTGGCCCTGCAGGGAGAGCCGTCTGTAACCAAAGAACCTGGCAGGGTCACTTCTTTAAAGGGACTAACGGGCAGTGATTCGTAGGAAATGATGGACAAGGAGCTTTAATTACCCAGCACAGGAGCTCTATGCATCACTGATGAGATGGGGAGTCTCCTCCACAGCATTAACTATTCCGGTTTAGCCTGGAGCTGGGAAGTCACCACTTGCTGAGCAGTCAGCGTGGGGGCAGCTGCCAGGGAGCTGCAGGCAAACCTGAACTACAGTGAATTAATGCCTTTCCTAAACAAACAAAACCTCTTGAAGCAACTGCCAAAAACCCCCAAACCGTAGCAGCAGGTGTAGGGGACCCTGCTCAGGTTACACACTGAACACAAGATTATACAGAAACCAAATCTTTTTTTATTTTTATTTTTTTTATAAACTTTACTTTTGTTGTTTTAATGTCTATTGCTGCTTTTAAGGCATTACATAAGAATGTGGAGATTCCTAGACCTGAATGTAGCTGAAACTGAACTGTGAGGTGATAGAATTACTTTTCTAGCTAGAACTGAAGAAATACTGTTTTATGTGTTTGGCTGTAGTTTACAGATATTCACTACTTCCTTTTTAAAGCATCTAAACCCTTTCCTTACATTTTAAAATCCTGCTGAATGGCTTGAAAGCTTACACAGTAATTGGAGCAGGGAGGATTTGGTCTCCAGTGTCTGTAAAGGAAGATGTTCTTGGAGCATCCATTTCCCAAATGAATGTGGTATGTCAGCAGGAAGGACAGCGTAGTGGTCAATGGCATCCTCAAACCACAGCCCCCCAAATGTCATGTACCATGTCATGAACCTGAGCAGCAGTGGCAGGGTGTTGGCTGTGGGGCAGGGGGTTCCTTATAGGGAAAATCCCACCCGACCCCTATGGGGATGCAAGGTCCAGGAGTGCAGCACTGCTCTTGCCCGCACTGTGGGCAGGGGGAGTGGACCCTGAGGGGTGAGAAAGCTGTGTGGGGGCTGTGTGTGTCCCCCCACTGCGGGCACTGCCACTGCTGGGGGGTTTTGGGGGGATGCAGGCAGGGCTGTACCTCTCCTCCTCTGTGCACTCATCTCCCTGTGCATCCCTGGGCAGAGGTGGGATGCTCCTGGTGCTTGTGTGCCCAGCCCCAGCCTGGCAGTGCCCTGGGGGCTCCCGTGGATGTGCACACGAACTGGAACCTCCTGCAGCCACCAGTGTGCTCACTTTTGATTGCCTTCCTCTGCTCCCCGACTTTGCCAGACTGACTCTCCCGCTGTCCATGAAGCCAGCATCCAGGGAGGTGTGGGTGCCTGCCTCTGTTCCTGCCAGGTTTTCCTTAGCCACTGGGCTGCTGCCTCAGCAGGCATCTCTAAAGACTCTGAATTCCAATGCACATTTCAATGCACTGAAACAGCTTGTGACATTCCCCTCTCCTCTGTCCTCCCCTACCTCTGCTGGTCACCTGGCTCTGGCAGAGCCCCTTCAGTGCCTTCTCACAATTAATTGGGTCCAAACCATGGGCCAACCCACCTCCCTGATTGGTGCTAGGCTGTCTTGCAAGGTGTTGTACAGCATCAGTGGGAGGTAAGAGCCTCTCTCCCAGCTCCTTCTACCTCTCTGACACGCTGGGACCCCCTGGCACCCCTGTCTCAGCTGGTGGAGGATGGCAGCTTCTCATTTTCCACCCTTATGTGCAGCTTTCCACCCCAGCTCTGACGATCATTTTCTCTTGGTCTCCACCCCAAGGCTGTACTTGGGAATGGGCAGAAAAGGAAACCCAGGTAGTTTAAAGGCTTTTTTTCCTGTTTTAACCTGGAGGTTACTCTTAAAGTCTTCCTTGAGGGGTTCATTCTCCATGACATATATTCAAGCCCCACACCTTAGTCAAGAAAACGCTGGAGAAAGCCAAGTGAGCTGCTCCATGTCACTTCCTGGGGACATGTAGCACTGTCTTGTCACCAGCCCCAGGGCTGGGAAGATGGCAGGGTGGGTTCTGTGTGTGCTGAAGGTGTTTGGGAAGCCTTGGCATTGCCACTGCTGCACTGGCTGGTTTTGAACCCCTTGCCAACCTCTGATCCTTGTGTCCAGCTGGAGCCCAGCCACAACACTAATTCCTCATCCCAGCTCCTTGAAGTCCCTGTTCAGAGCCCAGCATGGGGCCTGTGGGTGACAGACATCCTCTGCTCTGGACCCCTCTGATGGGTTTGATTTTTCCAAACTGGGCAAACACGGTGTCCTCACTCCACAGCATCCCTGATCTTATACTCCAAATCTCACATCCTTTCCTATCTGATCAAAAGGAAAACAAATAGATGAGGGGGAAAAAAAAAAAGGACTTGGGGAAAGTAAACAAAGATAAAAGAGGAATGAGAATTGTCTTGGCATTAAGCTCACTTGATGAGAATTGTAGCAGACAAGTCTTCCTTGAAATGTTTTTCCCTGTTAAGAGCCGCCTTTTATTATGTGTTTATAAAATGTTGTTAAGGGAGGGGGATTTCAGAAATGCCTTTTTAATACTTTTTAAAGGTTTCTAACTCCCTGGTGCTATTTTTTTAGGTTAAGGATTTTTAATGTTGAACATGTTGCGGGTTTTTGTACAATCTTCTAAAAATAAAAGAAATGTATCGTTTTGAACACATTTTACATGTTTTTTTGTATCCAGAGTGTGGAAACCCCCAACTCTTCCTAGTCCACATGATTCCACTGGTTTCCACGTGGGAAAGAAAGGGGATCCATGTCGATAGTTTACCATTTATCATGTCTGATTAAAAAGGAGTATTTCTGTATGGTGGGACTGTCTTTACTGGGTGAATAAAAGCGGGTTTGCAGCAGGAGGAGGGGCACAGTTGGGGAGCCAGGATGCCCCTTCCCCACTGCTGCTGAGGTGACACCCAGTGACACCAAGGTGGCCAGCCCTGGCTGTGCTGGGTGGTGGAGGTCAGGCTGTAGAGGGGAGTCTGATCTCTGGCTGGGCTAGGAATCAACTGCAGCCACTCAGTGAAGATGTAGTCTATCCCAAATAGGGATATAACCTAATGGGCAGGGACACCTTCCACTACTCCAGGTTGTTCAAAGCCCCATCAGCTCTGACCAACACATAGTTATGGTCAGTCAATAGCTGTTAAGACTAGGGTTATTTTTCAAAAAAAAAAAATTGAAATCTGTCTCATTATCCAAAGATCTGGGGAACCAGTAAGGACTCAGTCATGAAATCAGCAAGGCATAATAATTTACCTCTCCTTGACATCTCAGCTTTTACCACATAACTGAAAATAAATGTGTATCTTACAAGTTCAAGCCATCCATCCACTAGAGGGATTGCACCGGTGGCAGCAGGACTGCAGAATTGTACTAGTTCAGAAAAAATGCCCTTAATTTCAGATTGAAATACAAGAGCCCATCAGTCCGGGCTGGGCTGTGCTGGGGTCTGGGCCTGGCTGTACCGGGTGGTTCGTACCCGGTGGTCGGTGCCAGGTGGTCGGTACTGGGGGGGGGGGTTCGGTGGCCAGTGGTCGGTACGTGGTGGTTGGTCCTGGCTGTACCCGGGGGTCGGTGCTGGGGGTTCGGTACCCAGTGATCGGTACCGAAGCGTCGGGGCTGGCTGTACCGGGAGGTCGGTAACTAGTGCTCGGTGCGGGGTGGTTGGTGCAGGGTGGTCGGTCCCGGGTGTCCCCGGGGGTCGGTGCAGGGTGGTCGGTCCCGGGTGTCCCCGGGGGTCGGTGCAAGGTGGTCGGTCCCGGCTGTCCCCGGGGCTCGGTGCAGGGTGGTCGGTCCCGGCTGTCCCCGGGGGTCGGTCCCGACATTCCCCCGCCGCTCCCTCGTTCCCGATCCCCGCGCGACCCCTCGGGCACGCGGGACCCCTCGGTGTGGGCGGGGCCACCGGCTCCGCCAATGGCGGGCGAGCCCGCGGGGCGGGGCAGGGCGGATGGGCGTGGCCTACCCCCCGTAGCAACGCTGCCGTTGGCCCCGCCCCTTAGCAACCGGCCCCCGCCCTCCCTCCCCTTCTGGCCGGCCCGTCCCGGCGCGCGGCGCTGCCCGCGCGGGGCCGTGACGCGCGCGTGACGCAGGCGCGCAGCGAGCGCGTGACGCGGTCCCGGTCAGGGCGGGCGGGGCCGGTTTGAACGCGGGGCCGACGGGGCGAGCGCGGCGCAGGTACCGGGGCCGGGCCCGGGGCCGCCGCGCGGGAGGAGGGAGGGGGGACACCCCGCGCTCCGGGGGGCACGGCGGGCACGGGGAGGGGCGGCCCGGAGGGGCGCCGCCGCTGTGAGGGGACCGGCGCGAGGCCTGCAGGGCCGGGCCGCGCCCCTCGGCGGGCGGGGGTGCGGTGGCGGAGCGGAGCGCCCGGCGGGGGGGGCGGTGAGGATGGGTCGGGGGGTATGTGTGGGGGGGGTATGAGCGGGCCGTGCCCCGCCCCGCGGTGCCGGCGGCCCTGCCCGGCGGCAGCTGCGGCGGCGGCTCCGCTTTGTGCCGGCGGGGCTGGGCGGGGAGCGGCCGCTCGGGGCTGATCCCGCGGGAGATACCGTGAGCCGGGCAGGAAGTGTTCCGGCCGTTCCCGGGGGCGCGGGGGAAGAGTGGGGATGAGTGACTTGCCGCGGCCGTGATTCCTTTTCAGCGGTTCCCACGTGAGCGCCCCGGTGCGAATTTTTCCTGGGGAATCGCGGAGCCGAGCCCCGGGCGGCCGTGGGGAGGGAGGGTCCGCCCAGCTGTAGGCAGCGGGCAGCTCCGTCGCGATGCGCTGGCTGGCGTGTCGGGAAGGCTCGAAAGGAAGCGGCTCCACCTCCACGCAGCCCCTGAGCGTGGGGGGACCGGCGTCTGCGGCACTCACACCTCTGGTTGTGTCTTTCAGAAAATGGCAGTGAATGTGTATTCTACTTCAGTGACCAGCGATAACTTGAGCCGACATGACATGCTGGCGTGGATCAATGAGTCTCTGCAGCTGACGCTGACCAAGATCGAACAGCTGTGCTCAGGTGAGGAGTCGGTGTCCCAAGCAGAGTCCCGAATGGGATGTGCACCCTGGTTCTGCAGAGGTGCAGCTGTGCAGTGTGAGCTCTCTGTGCTGCCCTGCTGTAGCCCTGCTCCTGGCTTAGTTCCTGGTGTGAACAGATTCGTGGTCAGCGTTATGAGCCAGTTATGGTTGGAGTGTTATTGAAGTGGTTGTTAATAATGGCAGTGTAATGAAAAGGCATGTTCTCCTGACTCATTACAGCATAGGTGCCATAAGGAATGGGCAATAATGTGAAAAAAAGACTGAGGAAGAGGGTGCTTTCCCATGAGGAATTAAGCATTGAGTCTCAATGGGTAGAGTAAGTCTTAACACGTGTAACTAGCAAAGACAATTGTGAATTATAGAAGAGCACTGGAGTGTGAGGAAGGCAAACTGGTGACTTGTGGGGTCACCTGCAGGACTTTTACAGCTCCTTCTGGTCCCAGGGCACGTCAGTCTGTGTCAGCCCAGCTTAGCTGGGCCTGAGCTGACTTCAGCACAGCTGAATCTCATGTACAGTTACAGGCAGAAAAGGGGAAGTTGTTGTGGTACAGAAATGGAGTCAAGTGTCATAGTAGGGAGGGAAGTGTGGAAGGAGGAGGCTTGTAGGAATGAATAAAAGATAGTAGTTAGTAGAGCTGAAAAAAACCAAGGCTAGAAATGCAGCCTGAGTAGGAGATAATTTGGGTGACTGCAACAGGCACTCAGTGAAAAGTGGAAGTGTAGCTCATACAGTGTCTTTGACTTAAGGTGTTGCTCATGGGATGAGAGATGTGGAATAAAAGGAGGAACAAATTTAAAATAAGTTTGGGACTGTCAATACAGCGTGGAAAAAACAATCCCAAAGATTACAGAGTAGCAGAGGACTCAAGATAGACATCTGAACAGGTATTTGTGGTGGCTTTTGTCTAGTTTGATGATGGATAAAAAACCTGTGAGGGTGAAGGAACTAAAGATCTACACCCACAGAAGGAAGGGAAGTGATA